GGCTACAGTCCATGGAGTTGCAGAGTCAGACATGACTGAGTGACTTACAATATAGTTATGAGAAAACATAACAAATATTATAAACAACTGAAGATCAAAGACCACCTAATTCACAAGCACAACTTTAAAAAATATTTCTGACGAGAACCAGTATTTCACCATTTCTGGGAATTCCCTGGTGGTCCAGAGGTTAGGACTTGGCGCTTTCACTGCAGGGGCCCAAGTTTGATCCCTAGTTAGGGAACTAAGAGCCTACATGAATGCATCATGGCGGTAAAATAAAATAAAATTTTTTTTAATTAACATTTTTCCCTCAAAATAACAATCTAGTCAGCAGTTAGGACTCTAAAGCAGGTTGGCCAGAGATGGCCTGGGGACCACTGCTGTCAGCATGAGCCTCCTCCCTCATGCTTTGGAGCAGGTTTGTCACAGTCAAGAGCATCCTCCCCACAAGATCCCTCCTCCCAGGCCACCAGAATCACAGTCGTCAAGAGCACAGCAATCACGTTAAAATGCTTATCAGCCTTTTGGATGGTGAAGCTGGAGAACTGAGAGTGGTAGAACAAAGTCTGGGTCTTAGCTTCAGCTCTAACCAGTGATTTCTGTAAGAAATTTAGCATTTCTGTACCTGCTTGAACATTTGGGAAAAGGAGATTGCTCAACATCTCTAACTATTTGCAGTACAAGGTGATCCTGGTACCAATTCCCCAGTGTCCAACAGACTAGGTGGCAAGAATTCTTGGCAAAGTTGGAATCAACAGTTCACATGTAAAAACTCTGTTGTGCCAGTTCTTTAATGCATGTGCCCTCAATGAGGCACCCAATTTTAAACCCCAATGATGGGTTTAAAAATCAAGCAGTTTTTCACAAGAAATACTGATGAACCAGAAAACAGTAACAATATCTACGTACATACAGTATTATACAGCAATGATCCTGTCCGTATATGCAAGACACAATATCCTTGGGCTTTAACCAAGAGGCCTCTGTACCTCCATTCCAGCCTAGAGCTCAATTTCCACGCTCCTGACATCTGTCAACATTCCCCGAGATAAATGTGTAAGTTACACATTCATTCTAGCCTCTACCAAACAAATATTAACGCCATCTATAGACTGGCAACTGCCAAGCATGCATCTCAAAGACAGACTCTCCTCCAAGCTCCTGCCTCATCTTACCAGTGGTCTACTCTATTCTGCTTACTGATACCACCCATGCCCCGAAATGAACTTTGGATAGGCCTCACTCTAAATCTCCCCTTCAAAGCTTTCTCATCGTTGTTATCAATGTAGCTATTCACACCACTGCTTAAGTAAAAGCCTGAATGGTTCTCTCCCATCCTCCTAATTCCAATCTCCCCACCACTTCATAAGCAAGCCAGAGGCAAATACTGTCCATTCTACTTCTACAGTGTACCTCAAACCCATGCTCTCGTCTCCCTTCAGCAGGACCATTCTCACTCAAGCTCCCATCATCTCATGTCTAGCTGAGTCTCTTAACTGTTCCCATCTCCTTTTGCTGCTCCAAGGTCCATCTTTTATAAGAACACTTTCACAACAGCTCTATATATTAGGAAGATTATATTTTAAAATATAAGCCTCTGTGCATTGTCAGGGAAGCAGGTAACAGCAGTGTTAAAAATACACATCCTTGGTTGAGCAAGTTTCAATAGTCTGGCAGTGTTCCAAAAAAGGGGAGTGGGGTAAAAAAGAATAAAAAAGATGGATCACACAACAGACGTAAGAAGTTCGTTTCATTTTACCATTCTTGAGAGTTGAGTGACTGAGTGAAAAGGGGACTAAAAAGGGTTGCTAATATGGTAACAGACCAACCTTTGCCCCTGAGAAGTAAAATAATGGGCCAGAAATCCATGCTGGTTTTGTCCAAACTGCATCAGAGATTTTCATGATCCTTTCTAGATTTCTCAGGCAGTAGCTATTATCTGGTGGACTGACATTTATTCTTAGCTTTTATCTTGGTGTCTCCAAAGTGGACATCTTTTACTGTCTATTTATTCTGTTGGACTCACAGTAGAGACTGGCATGATAGCCCAAGGGGGCATGGAAAACAGTGATCCCAAACCAAAGAATAAGTGTGAACCTGCTGGCATGCAATTAGGCTGAACTACCAAGAAAATTGGGCTTCCCTGGTGGCTCAGAGGTTAAAGCATCTGCCTGCAATGCAGAAGACCTGGGTTCAATCCCTGGAGAAGGAAATGGCAATCCACTCCAGTATTCTTGCCTGGAGAATCCCATGGACGGAGGAGCCTGGCTGGCTACAGTCCATGGGGTCGCAAAGAGTTGGACACAACTGAGCGACTTAACTTTCACTTTTCACCAAGAGAATATGAAATCATCTGGCTTCACTGAATCCTTCCTTTCCTCTTATGCTTACACTTACTAATAGAATGTTAAGTGCTGGCAACATCCTGGGCAATACTAGCCTGGCCAGCATCAGTTTCCTTGTTCAGGAGATGCCACGACTTTCTTAGTCAGATATCACTTATACAGAGAAATGCTGCTGTTAAGAAAATCCAAACTTCTAAAACAGATCAGTGAGTATTTATAAAAGGATTTACAGCAGTATTCCCTTAAACAGAAATTTCTTTTTAAAATAGAGTTTGACTTATCATTGTTTTCTAGAATACATCTAATATACAATGTGAAACAGAACACTAGCTCTTAAAACTGAGCTGTACAAAAGACTGTGCACAAGGAATCCTAGTATCCTTTATTAAAGTTACTCTTCACAAATTCCAAACTTTAGACAAAGAATAACTTAGCCATATCTTGCCAATTATCAAGAAGGTACAACGTCATACATGTAGGGCAATAATATTCTAATACAGATAGACTGTAAAAAATACTCTCAAAATTTCTACTTTTTGAAAAGGCTAAAATACTGAATTTTATAGCTTTAACTTCACTAAGAAACAATTTAGATATTCTAAAGTAAATACAGGATTCACTGGTGGCTCAGACGGTAAAGAATCTGCCTGCAATGCAGGAGACCCAGGTTCGATTCCAATGTCAGGAACACCCCCTGGAGAAGGGAATGGCAACCCTTTCTTACCTGGAAAATCCCATGGACAGAGGAGCCTGGCAGGCTACAGTCCATGGAGTTGCAAAGAGTCAGACATGACTGAGTGACTTACAATATAAAAAAGGATATCATTAAAATCACATGCAGTCTATTTTATAAGTAGATTTCAAGTGTACATATAGGCATCTCTAAAAGTATCTGGTTTAAATTTGTTACAAACTGTTGAAATATTTTTCAAATGTTCATCCATTAATCTCAGTTGCTTTGAAACAAAAGTAATATGGGCCTTTAGGAACCTCTTATTGCTGTGTGGTGCTATAATCACACCAACTGAAGTATAATTCCCAATATTTATATTCAAAGGTACATGAGTTTTAAAAGAAATAAAACTCTGCATTCAAGGTTGGATGCATGAGACNTCAGCTCTAACCAGTGATTTCTGTAAGAAATTTAGCATTTCTGTACCTGCTTGAACACTTGGGAAAAGGAGATTGCTCAACATCTCTAACTATTTGCAGTACAAGGTGATCCTGGTACCAATTCCCCAGTGTCCAACAGACTAGGTGGCAAGAATTCTTGGCAAAGTTGGAATCAACAGTTCACATGTAAAAACTCTGTTGTGCCAGTTCTTTAATGCATGTGCCCTCAATGAGGCACCCAATTTTAAACCCCAATGATGGGTTTAAAAATCAAGCAGTTTTTCACAAGAAATACTGATGAACCAGAAAACAGTAACAATATCTACGTACATACAGTATTATACAGCAATGATCCTGTCCGTATATGCAAGACACAATATCCTTGGGCTTTAACCAAGAGGCCTCTGTACCTCCATTCCAGCCTAGAGCTCAATTTCCATGCTCCTGACATCTGTCGACATTCCCCGAGATAAATGTGTAAGTTACTCATTCATTCTAGCCTCTACAAAACAAATATTAATGCCATCTATAGACTGGCAACTGCCAAGCATGCATCTCAAGACAGACTCTCCTCCAAGCTCCTGCCTCATCTTACCAGTGGTCTACTCTATTCTGCTTACTGATACCACCCATGCCCCGAAATGAACTTTGGATAGGCCTCACTCTAAATCTCCCCTTCAAAGCTTTCTCATCGTTGTTATCAATGTAGCTATTCACACCACTGCTTAAGTAAAAGCCTGAATGGTTCTCTCCCATCCTCCTAATTCCAATCTCCCCACCACTTCATAAGCAAGCCAGAGGCAAATACTGTCCATTCTACTTCTACAGTGTACCTCAAACCCATGCTCTCGTCTCCCTTCAGCAGGACCATTCTCACTCAAGCTCCCATCATCTCATGTCTAGCTGAGTCTCTTAACTGTTCCCATCTCCTTTTGCTGCTCCAAGGTCCATCTTCGATGTAAGATGCAATCTTTTCAAACATAACTGTGATCGGTTTATGTGAACCCTTCACGTAAATCCCTTGAATGGTTCTCAACTGCTTCGTGACCAAAACCCAGTTCCTCGCTGCATCCTTTACGGTCCTGCGCAGTTTGGTCCCTGCCTGCCTGCTTCTCCAGTCTAATCCTGGACCATTCACGTTCTCCTGGCTGACTCCATCCAGCCAGGCTGACCTTCTCACTGCTCCTCACATGTCCCATGATGGCCCCTCCTCCCCAGCAGGATCTTTACCCAGGTTATCACTTCTGCACTAGTGGGTCTCACACAGATGGCTCCTTGCCATCCCTCAGTCTTAGTGAGACAGGCCTTCAGAGACCACTCAGCTAACGTGGGGCCTCCATGTTAATTTCTTCACAATACCCTGTTTCTTTTTTAACAGTTTTAAAAAATGACTTGTAACTATATATTGACTTGTTTATCTAGCATCCTTCACACATTAACTTCTTCACTGAATGAATCAATGAGGAGAAATACCTTAGGCAAGACTAATTATAAACAGTTACCACTGGCGAATAGAAAATGCAATAAAAGAGATCTTACCTTTTCAACTTTTTTCCTTTTAACAGGTGGGTCAAACCTCTCATTGACTCCAAAATACTGGGTAAGCTCCTTCCACTGGGTTTCACTTGAAGACTGTTCACTGTAAAAAGATAGACAATAACTTAGGTTTCACACAAAATGCACTCATTTTTACATTTACTGTTTTTAATTCATTACTACAATTATATTACATCAACTACTTCTTAGGTTTCAGAGGTAATTCAACTATTTGTACAAGTTCTACAATACTGTCTAGGACAGACAGATATTTTAAATTCCACCTACCTATGAGATTCTTCTTCATTCTTCAATTTTCCTTTTCTGGAGCGTTTTCTTTTTTTCTTTTCGGGTCTAGAAGCTGAAGTTTTCTGTTCAGAATGCTTTTTATGCAATTCTTGAAATTTATTTCACATATTTAAGGGAATCCCAGACGGACACTCTTCATACGCATTTACATTTGCCTCTGCTTCAGCGTCTGGTCCGTCTGGAGGAACGTCTGCGGCCTCTGTCTTTTTACAGGTCCCATCTTCTCTGCCCTCTTGTGAGTTACGTTCAGAGCTCTCTAATGTGGTATCATCGTCAGAACTCAATTCAACATCACTTTCATTTAGGCCAGGAGGGAGCAGCCCACTCCACATCTTTTCTGCTCGAGGGGGAACAAAAATGAATTAAGATATACAAAGTAGACATGGAAAGAATTTTAAAATCATTAAAAGATATACCAGGAATCTAATAATTGTACCAATGGTTTGGGTAAAGTCCATTTATACTTTTTAAAAATTGGTACAAAGCAGGATATACCCTCCATATCAAAATAGCTTAAATATTTTGCTTATATAAATTTTTTAGAAGTGTAAGGTAGTTTAAGTAAGTCTGTTACAAGACACACCTACAGCTGAATGACTTAATGACAACAAAACCTTGATCCTCTAATACATGAATAATTCTGTCCAAAAAAGAGAGGAAATTCAGTAAAAGCATAGTCAAGAATGTTAAAAGCCTAACAATATACACTGGAGGTAATTTAAGAATTATAACACTATATTTCAAGCTGTAACAATTAGAGAAGAAAATAAAATTGGATTTCTCACCTGTATTTGAACGTATAAAACTTCAGGGGACTTATTATCTATGGAGGAGGAAAACAATTACACAAAGGAAAATGTTTAAGCTGTGCAAGCAGTTTGAGAAAAGTATAGTGGTAAAAGGATGGCCCAGTTTTACATTTTACACAGCTTGTTAAAGTAATACTAAATGGAGTATAATTTTCACAAATTAACAAAAATGTATAGCTTTTTAAAGTAACAATACTGTATTCGGAAAACAAGTTCAGGGTGACTTTTATCATTAGTTATACAGCCCATTGGTAGAGAGAATCATTAACTATTGTTAAGTCTAATAAAAATAATTTTTAAAAACTGAAGTTGTAATCAGTCTAGTTTAGTATACACAATAAGCCCAAACTAGTTCATTTAAAAGATCCCTAGAATAGAGAAGCTGGTTGCTCTGCTCATGATTTACCGTCAACTGAAGGAATGAAACGGAAGGGTGGAAATCTTTCCCGCTATCTTTCTGCCCTCTACTGTGTTAACGAGTGTAAGAAAACCACCAGCACAGTCTCTGAGACAAAGTGTCATGGCATTTTGCATACTCTCAACAATGGATTCCTGATAACTTTTAAGGACCTCCTCCCAAGTCCAAAGAATCAGCTCTCACTTTTCACAGTCTGGGTCCAGTCTCATCAGCTGCTGCCTCTCTGTAAAGCATCTTCACCAAAACACTGTCTTGGCTGTTTCAGAGGAAGATTTCTAACATCTAACTACTCTAACTGTAATTCTGAGGAAGTCATTTTTAACACCTCTGACCCTGTGTTTTCATCTGTAATATGGGGCTAACTACCCTGCACACAGGGTTATTCTCAGAATGAAATGAGGTAAGCTACTTAAACACTCTACACAGTGTTCAGGAGGTTCTGGGGACTTGATCAATGACCGGTTCTTTGTGCCATTATCATTTATTTCTGTGGCCATGTACTGCGTTTTTATCATTTCTATTATGGGTGGCAGCATCTATATAAGGAAGTTTTGAAATTTCTAATGTTTGAGATGAATTTATTTAGTAATTGATACAAGTCATTTAACTCCCTGATTTCCACAGTCTGACATGAACTTTCAATTAAAAACACTGATGTCTGGTTTTCTGAATGGAGCAATAAAATCAGAAGCAAATTACCAGGAAGACTGAACCTAAGCTTCAAGGCTTGTCTTTTGCGTAAGTTCTTCCAAAGCACTATACCTGATTTTGTATTTTGAATCTGTATTCCTTTTTTTAAAGAGGACTCAAATTACATAAATTCCAAGCCCTATAAAACCTACTCTGTGTATGCGTGCTTAGTTGCTCAGTCATGTCCAATTCTGCAACCCCAAGGACTGTAGCCTATCAGGCTCCTCTGTCCATGGGACTTTTCAGGCAGTTGGAATGCCTGAAGTTCAGACTTTTCTGGAGTGGGTTGCCATTTCCTCCTCCAGGGGGATCTTCCCCACCCAGGGATCAAACCCACCTTTCCTTCACTGTAGGCAGATTCTTCACCACTGAGCCACTGGGGAAACCTGAATCCATCCCTAAATCTGGACTGAGGATTTTAAAAGTTGGAGTGGAGGCAGTACTGAGATACTGTTAGCACAAAAGACATGACGTATAACAAGCCAATACAGAAAAACAGGTGTGGAGCTAGTAATAAAAACATTTCTACTCTTCTGCCAAGCAGGAGGAAGGCTGTGATAATCTGCTCTACCATGACCTTGCCACTGGCATATAATACACGTTCAGACTCACTATCCATTTCAGGACTTAAGGATGGTAACAAGTTTCAGAGTTAGCTTTCTTAGAACTAATTGGGGGTTCTATGGTTTGGAGCCACAGTTTCTTCTCCCTGTCCACAGCATCTTCTGCATACCCACTGTGTGCCGGGCACTTTTCAAAACACAGAAACAGCAGTATACAGAATGGGCAAAAATGCCCACCCTCATGGGACCAACATTCTTATACAAATGGCAAGTTTCTGTCCATCAGCAGCCAAGGACCACTCAGCCCAGACTTCAGCTGTGGCAGCTCAGAAGGGCACAGTTCTCCCACGGGGCCACTGCTGCAGTATCGTCACAGGGTAAGTCTACGTTCTGGGCACCCCAAGGGGCTTCACCTTGGGAAGCAGGGCTAGTAACCGTGGAGAGGGCACGCCTTTTTTCATCAGCCCTTAATCATTTCTGATCACTTTTGGACTTCTTCAACTTCATATATGTTTAATAAGTTCTTGCTGATGTGGCATTAAGAACTGTCCTCAGCAGGCTATTGGCTAGTATGATAACTTCCTGTGTATGCCCATGGTGGGGGAAAAATTAAAATAGTTTTTAAAAAGTGGACTCTATGTCCAAATCCATAAAAGGTGGAGATCAAATAAGACATGTTTCTGAATTTAATCCCTAAATATCTTTAAAGTGATGTGCCATTCTCCTGTGACCATAACATACACACATACACAAATAGCAGTACAACTTGGTGGCCACTGACAAACGCAGATAGTTAACTGAGCAGCCTGCAAAGTGAAGCTGCCCATCTGAGCAGCAGTTCTGACTGCAAATCAGCCAATATGGAGTGGCTGCTTTGTGACTTGTTTTGGGCTTAGATTCAAAAACACTGTCTTTCTAGTCAAAGCATATGCATGTTATTTATACATTTCCAATTGTACTACAGTACCAGTTGGTCCCATTAGGCCTCCTGTTACTTCTGTTTGGGTTGCTCTGGATTCTGATTCTCTAGTTCTTTGAAGCATCTCTCATCTCATACCTTTCAGAGTGCACTCTTTCATTTTAAAGCAGATAACCCTTCAAATGTGAGCATTACTCAGCCATTCTCAAGAAACATCACATACCAGAGACCAAGAAACAAGTTTTTTAGTGTAGACTATAGTCAAGTCTATATAACAGTCCATGTGTTGATATATTAACTTTCATGCTTTTAGCCTGTAAGTCAAATACTTCAATCATTTAGCCCCAAAGAAGATGTGAATCATTCAGAATCCCCCTATTCTCTGCGATTTTTAATATCAGCTTCTCCATTTCACATACTCTGTACTGCTGGAGTGAAGATTCTTCCCAATCCACAGTTATTCTACAAAGAAAAATTCTGTGTATGCTATGCAGTCCAGGGTTGACATCATTTATGATGAACAAAAACATTTATGTCACATCCTAGTCCGAATGGCTGGGCTTTCTTTTGCCCTTGGAAATCAAGCACAGCTGCTACTTAGCACACCTGGGCAGATAGCAGTATCTAGAAGAACATGACACAGCTCAGCAGCTCCTCAGCTAGGTGTTTTTCAAAGTTTTATGAAGATAGTAATTGAGATTTCTAAGCTAATTTCATTACTCAAAAAGCCCAACATATTTCATTTTCCCTCAAACATTATGATGCACCTTTAGGTTAGGAAACTTAAATTCAATGAAACATTATTGTTCACCACATTTTCATTCATCTGATTGGTAGCTAAAGGCCTAAGTTTTACTAAAAAGGAAAAAACACAAATTAAATGGGTATAGTTTAGTAGAGGCAATATTTCAAAATACAGCATCCACGGAGATATCAAATTACAATAAATGAGATTCTAGGTTGTGAAAGGATTGGGAGCCAGCGGTAGAGCAAGGAAAAAGAACAGTTTTAGAAGTCAGAAGATGGGTTTCTAGTCCTGAACAACATAACTGCGGAAAAGTTACTGCATCTTCTGGGTCTTCACCCTTAACCTAAAACACGAAGGGTTTGATCAAATCTCTGAGACGTCTAGAGGCCCTACTATGCCTTTTTATGGATCTCAATATTATGTGTGCCCAAATGCCCAGAATCACCTCATTCTTTAATGTAACACTCCATTCTCTCTCAGTCAGAACAATACTAATTAAACCCCAACACCCCAGAAGATAAGGTTTCTCTCCTAACCCAGCCACCACAGCCAAGCTTGCAAGTTTTCGGTAAGACCCTGCACTTCAGAGAAAACACCTAAAAGATGTTCTGGAGAAAGGGAAAGAAACACCACTGTGACAGAAGAAACAGAACCAAAAAGAAAAACAAACCAGGCCATCGCTATAAATTAGGAATACAAACAATGTGACAGGCACTGTTTTACCCTTAACCCTCACAATGACCCTTCCACTAGGAATTATTATCTAAACCCCTTTTACAGATGCGGTAACAGACTCATCCAATGATTGGTGATCCACTAATCTTAGAAAAATAGAACTCTGTGACTCAAAACTCTTTAGAGTGCAGAGTTTAAGTAGTATTATATTCTTGGTGACGAAGATTTGAGAGTGGGTCTGAAGAATATCTCCAGCCTGTAATTCTGTTAAAATTTAATCAAGAAGAATTTTTTTTCTCACTTTTTAAGGGCAGAAAGCTATATAAAAATGTTATACCAAATTGAATACAGGCCTGGGTAATAATATCACATTTTCTGCAGTGCAGGTAACTGCTTATAATCAAAACTCAACTAAGCAGTTTATGGGTAAATGTCCCCTGACTCTCATATTCCAGACTTTCAATTCCATTTTTACTGAATGAAGTTGCCTTATCTCCCAAATTTTGTATTCAATTAGAAATAATCACAGAAAACGGAAAATCTTGTCTGATCTGAACTTAAATCTTACAGAAATCGTAAACCACCACCTACCAGTATAAAGATCCTGTTAAATAATTTACACAATAATCAGCTTCTGTGACTGGGCATTAATTACTTAACTGAAATACTTCTACGCATGTTATCATCAACATTAATGCAAATGCCCTGTTCACGTTTATGAAATGAATGTGCTCCGTTTTCTCAAAAATGAACAGAAAGTACAACTGAATCTCAGGCCTAACCGGAATTAAGTTACCAATCCGATTACCCAGATAAACTATTTAGCAGGATTTTGCACGTACGCATATGTCAAAAGCGAGTGTCTTGTTCAGCCTAGGGCTAGAAAACACTCCCCGAGAGTCAAGACCCTGCAAGAAAGATTTACAGGTAGCCAATAGTTCAAAGCCCATTTTCCAACTGGATGTCTCCGTGAGAATACTTACAGGGTGGAAGACTGCAAGAGCGGAGGCTCTAGAAAAGTACACCTTTCGCGGCACGGCTGAACCACCCGGAACTCTGCAGGCTCCCCTGCGGCGGGGCCACACTCCGACTCCCAGATGGGAAGAATCCCCTCCCGGCACAGAACTAAGCGCCACAGATTCTGAAATAGGATGTTTACCTTGTTGACTCTCCCATCAACTGCAGCTCGCTTCCGGGTACGGCAACTGTAAACAAGAGCGCGTTTCCCGGGTCGAAAGCCTTCTCATCCCGTCTCACTCCGGCCGGGGTGGGACGGAGAACCCCTCTCCCACCAACAGGACGGGGACTCCGCCGCGACGCCGCGTCAGAGCAAAGCGGAGGCCGGTTCGGCCGACGTTCCCACGGGCACGGTCAAAGGCTTGGCGGGCCTGAGCAAAGGCTTTACGAGCTCGGCCGAGAGGCTGTGAGGCCGCCCACGCTTGCTCCCTAGCTCCTGGCACCCGGTCTTCCCCGAACCCGTCACCTTGGAGCCCAAGAGTCAGCCTCGCAATCAGCCGTACTCACCGGTCCGGACAGTGCCGACCGGCAGCCATCTTAAGACCTGGCAACATCGCGCCTTCTCATTGGCTCCGACATCTCGGCCAATGGGCTGGGGCCGTTCTGGCCTGGGGTCGCCATGGTAACCGATCGCGCTTGCCTCGCCTTTTAAATAAACGAAAAAGGGCGACTCATTTCTTTCTATTTCTTTTTTTCCCCTCTGCTTTTCTCTCGCCATTTTCTCCTTTCTTCTAGACGCCTTAAAGACTTCTTTTTCCATCCCCTGCTGTACTCTGGTGCTCTGTGGTGAGGAAAGTGCTGTCATAGACCTTAAAGTGAGTTCATTCCCCAAAGACCGAGACTCGCTGCAGCAGCTCTCTAGACCCTTCTGGGAACGTTTCCATTCATTCAAACTTTCCTCCCGCTCCCTTCCTGACTTTCCCACCCCCTCCCCGTACATATTTTTTTGAGCAGGCACCGTGCCAGCCTCTGTTTAGAGCAAAATGGTCTCTATCCCTGCTCTCGTGGCGCTTAGCATCTGGTGATGGTGGCAGCTGCTACAGACCGGCTGTGTGGCCTTGGCCAAAAACTCACTGAGCTCCTTTTCCCTGGCAGCCACTGACTTAGGCTCTGAGAAGGGGGTTGGGAGGAACATACAAAATAAGCAAGGGGAAAAAAAATAACCTCCCCCCCCCCAAAAAAAAACTATGAGGAAAATAAAACAGCATATGACCATGATGGGAGTGGGACTATTTTAGAAATGCTTTCATACTCTGAAATAATGTTCTGTAATAATAAAAATACATTTCTGTTTTCTAGTGTGGTAACGATCATGTAACAAAATACATATTAACCCCTTAAGGCATTACCTGGCCCACATTCATTTCCAGTCTTTCAGCTATTTGTTGTTATTGTCACTGACCTTGTCAATAATGCCTTTGAAGCATTCCAAAACTGTGTAAAAATTGTGTATGGCACTAAATAACATATGACTTAGTATAAACATCTTTAATACTTAACTATCCACTACCTAACCCCCTCATTGGAAAAGACCCTGATGCTTGGAGGGATTGGGGGCAGGAGGAGAAGGGGACGACAGAGGATGAGATGGCTGGATGGCATCACTGACTCAATGGGCATGAGTTTGGGTAAACTCCGGGAGTTTGTGATGGACAGGGAGGCCTGGCGTGCTGCAGTTCATGGGGTTGCAAAGAGTCGGACACGACTGAGCGACTGAACTGAACTGAACTGAACCTAACCCCCATTGTTTTCCAGAAGATGTGCTAGGTATATGGAGTAGTTTTCTATGACCCCAGAATGATAGCAAAATCTGAATTGACAAGCTTGGGTTACAAAGACCCTTTCTTACATTCACATTCTCTGATTTTAGAATAGAAGAGGGCTGAATGATTTCAGGATCTGTGTGAAACTCTCCAGGCCAAGTGTGTCCAGCCTCTCAATAGTGTTTTCCCTGTATCCAGATAGGAAAACAAGTTTAGCAGTTAAAGAGAGAGTGTGTCAGAAAATTCTGTTGTGGCTCTTATATTAAGCCTCCTAATTGCTATCTTAGTCTGCCGGGGTTGCCATAATAAAATATCACAGATTAAGTAGCTTTGTTGTTGTTATTTAGTCACTAAGTCCTGTCTGACTCTTTTGTGACCCCGTGAATTTTAGCCTGCCAGACTCCTCTATCCATGGGATGTTCCAGGCAAGAATACTGGAGTGGATTGCCATTTCTTTCTCCAGGGGGTCTTCCTGACCCAGAGATGGAACCCTCATCTCCTGCATTGGCAGGTGGATTCTTTACAACTGAGCCACCAGGGAAGCCTATATAGCTTACACAACAAAAATTTATATCTCATAGTTCTGGAGGTTGGGCCATCTAAGATCAAGGTGCTAGCAAAGTAGCTTTCATTCTGATACCTCTTCTCTTGGCTTGTAGGGAGCAGTCATCTTGCTGTGGGCTCATAAAATCTCTGTGCACTGTGTAAGGAGAGGAAAAGGGACAGAAGGAGTTCTCTGGTGTTTTTTCTTAAGAGGACACTAATCCTATTGGATCAGGGCCCTACCCTTATGACCTCATTTAACCTTAATCAGTTATTTAACCACCCCATCTCCAAATACAGCCACCCTGGGTTTAGCATTTTAGTGTTTGAATTTTAGGAGTACCGGAAAAATCAGTCCATAACAAATGCTGAGAGGGAAGAACTGAGACAAAGGATCGGAAGGAAGTATTGTCGGTCTGTTTAAGAACTGTTTGGATTGTTTCTATATAAATTCTATCACAGAATACTCATTATTTAGTGCATATAAATCTGCAAAGGATAAATGGGGAATATAATTATAAGTATTCTAAATACTTACAACCACCGGATTTCATATCAAAGATTTTTGGAAAATCCTACTCCCAAAATACATAGTTTAAAATGTTCTCAATGTTAATTTGAGAATGTTCAAATATCTGATTAACTTACTCTTGTGACATTATTGGATTCCTATAATACATGTAAATAGCTCAGACATTTCTTCTGGTTTCGGTTGTAAGACTTTCAGTCTCTGAATATTATTATTTTGCCAGTTTTCTAAAGGAGCTGTCAGTCATTTGATTTATTTTAATCAATAAATTTACCTTCCCTCCAGCAAATTCCTGCTTTGGAAACCTGCCAAATCATGCATTTTGTGAATGAAATATTGTTTTTGTGAGATTTCTGTGAAATACAGAATTATTGAATTTCTTTTACTAAATCATAGTAAATGTGATTCATCTAGAGAATTGTGCTTGAATTGTGTTGCATCTGGCACTAATTTCAAACATGTAAGTTTCATTTAAATTTTCAAACATCTTAAAAATCATAAAGCAGTTTTTCTTTGCCAAGAAATATTATAGTTTATGAATTGTTTTTCCTTATATTTAGTAATATTTATCCTAAGCATAGAGATTACAAGTCACACTCATGTTATAAAAAATTAATTGTGGAGGTCTTTTTTTTGGTAGCTGCTAAATCTCTGATGAAAATTTCCCCAAATATATTGCAGTCCCTTAAATATGTCTCAGTTGGAAAAAGTGAATGCTACTTTGTTGAACGTATGATAAATGTACTTCTGGCTGAAACTGAGAAAGAGAACAGTTCTTTGCATTTGTATAAAGTGCCCTTCTTTCTGCATTGAAGAAAAATTAGGCTAATGACTTATGCAAAAGAATAGAATCAAGGGAGTTCTGAACTTTAGATATCATATGACAATTTCTCTGTCTGGATTTTTTAAACTTGCAAATTGGAGCATCTCTAGGTAATGTTAATCTTCCAAAAATATGTTGAACAACTAACACTATGACATTAGCAACAGTTGACATTTGAGGAAAGGAAATTTCTGTCATATAGGATTTTGCCAAAGAAAAGTACTGTTTCTTTATTCATCATGCCTTACTTTTAGATTCTTCTGGTCCAACTGGTTGTACATAGGAAGATAGGAGGGGAAACATTTCTGGGTGCTTGCTATTATGTAACTGCTGCTGCTGCTGCTAAGTCGCTTTAGTCCTGTCTGACTCTGTGCGACCCCATAGACAGCAGCCCACCAGGCTCCGCCGTCCCTGGGATTCTCCAGGCAAGAACACTGGAGTGGGTTGCCATTTCCTTCTCCAATGCATGAAAGTGAAAAGTGAAAGTGAAGTCNGCCCAAAAAAATAAAGTCAGCCACTGTTTCCACTGTTTCCCCATCTATTTCCCATGAAGTGATGGGACCAGATGCCATGACCTTAGTTTTATGAATGTTGAATTTTAAGCCAACTTTTTCACTCTCCTTTTTCACTTTCATCAAGAGGCTCTTTAGTTCTTCTTTGCTTTTGCCATAAGTGTGGTGTCATTTGCGTATCTGAGGTTATCGATATTTCTCCTGGCAATCTGGATTCCAGCTTGTGCTTCATCCAGCCCAGCCTTTCTCATGGTGTACTCTGCATATAAGTTAAATAAGCAGGGTGACAGTATACAGCCTTAACATACTATTTTTCCTATTTGGAACCAGTTTGTCATTCCATGTCCAGTTCTAACTGTTGCTTCCTGACCTGCATACAGGTTTCTCAAGAGGCACAATAATAATATGCAAAACTAAGATCGGAAAGTTTCACTGGACTCTGATGTTCCTGCTCTTTCCACTGTCACACACTGTCCCTTTTACAGTGAAGTTCCTGGTAAATCCCAACGCAGTGCAGTCAATAAAGTGTAGACATCATCACTACCCAGTGGGATGAGTACTGGGTGGGAACTCATGGAAAGAGAGGCTTCAGGAGCAAAATGTGTCTTCTGTCTCCATCTTTCTTGGTAGTAGTGAATGATCAAATCCCATCCTATTATCAAATCCCATCCTATTCAATAATTCATTGATTGCTGCATTGAAATCTATGTTACTGTTGTAATTAGCCTCCAACTAATAAAAATAAACGAAAAAAAAGAAATCTATGTTACTCTCCCTTTTCCTAATACCTTCATCTTCCAAAACAGCCCATTGTCCGCTTAATCTCTCTAAATGAGAAAACACATGTAAAGCTTTTAACATTCATCTTGGAATGTAAATAGTCAATAAACACCAGTTTTCTCCCTTTACCTGTAAAAACTAAGGAGTGTGTGTGTGCATGTTTGAGGGGAGGGGAAGTGAATAGGCAGAGCACAGAGGATTTTTAGGGCAGAGAAAATACTCTGTATGATACCATAATGATACCATAAGCATTTGTCCAAACTGGTAGAGTGTACCACATCAAAAGCAAACTGTAATGTAAACTATGGACTTTGGGTGATTATGATGTATCACTGTGGGTTCATCAGTGGTAACAAATGTAGCGTGCTGGTAGAGAATATCTGTCATGGTGTAGGGGGAGGGCGATTGATATATGGAAGAATCTCTGTATCTTGCTTCAATTTTACTGTGAATTTAAAATTGCTCTGAAAATACTGTTTTAAAATCATCAGAGAATAATATTATTTGTGAAAACTACATGAAATCCAAATGTTAGTATCCGTAAATAAAGTTCTATGGGAACACATACACAAAAAAACCAAGAATATAAATGTTAACAGATTTGCCAGATTAATCTGTCAGCATCTTTGTGATCCTTACTTTGGACCTAATGCTTAGCATTTTGCTAAGGTTTGAAGAGAATACAAA